TAACCTGTTCTCTTTTTCCAAGGTGTTTGTTATTTTAAAGGGAAGACAAGATATGTAATTACAGAATTTCAAAGTCGGAAAGAATTTTATTTGACATGAATTCTCATCTCTAACCTCAAAATAATTCCTGTTACACATAATGAATGTTCTTCTTGCCTTTCTTATAATTAGCATGAACCTACTAATTCCTGAGGTATCTCATTCAAGGTTCTGAGAGCTGTAATCATTAGAAAGTGTGTTCCTTGTTCATTGATGGTTTTATTTCTTTCCCCTGGCATCAAGGCTGAATTTGCCTCCTTGAGGCTTCTACTCATTCTACCTAGTTCTACCATATAAGGACAAAATGAAAACCTACTTCCTTTCCTAAGTGACTGTCATTCTAATACTTGAAGACAATTTCCTCTATATTTGAATCTTCTCAACTACTTTCTATTTTTATGAATTCCAACCTCTTTCATATAATATTTGTCCTGCTCTGACTTTTCAATTTATTGATATTCTTGAACAATGGTTGGAACCCAGAATAGAACAAAATAAACCATATTTTCTTTTCCCATGGAGAGTAGAGAGGAACTGGCACCTCCTTAGCCCTGGAAAATCTGTACCTCAACCAAAGATCACATTATCTATTTTTTATTTCCTTATTATAATTGACTGCTATTGATCTTACAATATATTATGAATGTGATATGGCAACCTATGAAGGTAATGTAATCTTGGACTAGCTTAAGAAATTTAAACATATAAAGGAAGAGAGAACAAGACAAAAGAGGGCATATTTGAGAATAGAGTGTGACATATTCAGTCCATGAATGCTGTAGGACCTCATGAAATGGGAAGTATCTGTGTGATGGAATAGACAAGGAGTCAATAGGGAGGAAATAGTACATGAGAGTCCCATTGATTTATTAGCCCTCATGCTTCCTGGGACTTGTCATTCTAGATCAAATAATTGCCTGTACCTCACAGGATTCTACTCATGACAGAAGTAACAACACTGAAAGGTGAAATGTTGTACTATGATATACAAGAAATGTCCTCTCTGACCACTGACTTACGGGTTTGTTTTTTCTTCCTTTACTTTAGTAGTCTTTAAAAGGGGAAAAAAATCAGTCCTAACTGACAAATTCATCAAATGTCAAGTGTTAAACATTTAGTAGTGCTGTGTGGTTCAATGGAAAGAAAACTGGAGTTCAAGTCAGGAATACTCGTACCTAGCCTGATTCAGTTTTCTTATTAAGTAGCTGTGGATTCATTGGCCTCCCCTCTCTGAGTTTTTCCCTGCATGTCATAAATGAACAGCCAGAATCTGATGACTTTTATGTTTCCATCTAGCTCTGGCATTCTATGAACTATTTTAGCAACATATATGAAAATAAACAAACAAGAAAACAATAACGTATTATACCATGTCTGGATGTCATAAGATTAAGATCTGATTGGGGATATAAGACATGAAAATAAAAGTCAAGGTAATAAATGAAAAGAAAAAAATCAGAGAGTTGTGTTTTGATAGATGAAAAATAATAATTGGACTGACTTATATTTGTTTGAATTACCACCAAAATTTTAAAATGGGGGAAGTGGATTAATTGCCTTCATCTGAAAGAAGACAAACCAACTCATTTTTTTGTTTTAAAAACTCTTCTGGCAGAAGGTTTGGACACTGTGTTTGATAGACAGTGAACTGCTTATATTGAGTCTTTCCCTGACTTTTTCTCAGTCTTTTATCTCTGTTTCTATTTTACTCTCTCTCTTTCTTTCTTTCTCTCCCCTGTCTCTGTGCCCTCTCCATTCTAGGATCAAAATAGAGAGCTGGAGACATTGTGTTTTATTTTATTTCTTCATTTCAAAGAATAAAACATTATATTCTACATTTTGTAAAATGAATATTTTCTCCTTTTTTTAGAGCTACAAAATTAAGTTAATACATTGTTGTTTTTCCTCTTTATTGACACCCACCCCCACCATTGGATCAGTCACCTAAAGAAATGTGAAAGAATCTGGCTTCTAACTGATCCATCAATTGTTGACAACGTGCATGAGTACCAACTATGCAAAAAAGAAAAAAAAAACTAATGTAGCAGCAAAAAGAGAAAATTAACAAACTATTTTCTGTAATTTTAATCTGAATTGCAATTATCAAATCTGTTCTATATTAAGACAATTTAGAATATTAGAAAAAATGTTTTCAGTGTTAGAAAATATGAGGAGTCAGATTTCTGCAGCTGACTCATTGCTCATTTCACTTTATGTGTCCGTACCTCATTTTTCTCTTCTTTATGACAAATGAAAATGAAACCTGCTCACCTACCTCTCAAAACTTAAATATATGAAATGAGATCATTAAAATGAGTTTTCTTTTCTAAATAATTACCCTAAATTCAGAGACATATAAAATACTGTTTTTATTTATTCACATTCAAAGTTTGAGGTCCTTGGTTAATTTTCCTTAAATAGTGCTTCTGTCAGGTCACTTCACTGGACAAATAGTTTCAGTGACTCCACTTTGTCTATTTAATACAGTCCAAACTCTTTATCCTAGCATTCAAGGCTTTCCAAAACTTATCATTGGTATTGATTTCCCCCTACTTATCTACAGGAAACCATTTCAAAGTCAGTCTGTTTTTTCTTTGTTTGTGTTTGCCCATTGGGAAGGTCTGGCACCAAGTCTCATTTCTGACTCAAAATGATAATGTAACATTGGCCAAGTTGCTTTACTACTCGGTTCTATGGATAACTCTCTATGACTAAAGGTTAGAGAATGGGCAAACTTGTGAGGAGTTCCCTGCCCCAATTAAGTGACAAGTTGAAACTACCCCCAAAAATACATAAAATAAAATAATCATGGAAAGAGTCATGGAGAGAAGTGAAGAGATATGAGGAGGAAAAGAAGTGATATGAGGAGGGGTATGAAGATGGTGCAGAGGAAATGAAATATAGAAGACAATAAATGAGAAGGAGGAGATCTTAGAAGGAAGAAGGAAGAAAATATTTATCATTTCATCACCTTACCTTTTTTCATCACTCACTATTGCAGATATGAGATGTTGTTAGGTTGATTTTAGGACATGTTGGATCTCAGCCACCAAATGTTTTGACTGTTCACAACTCTTCCTCATTCTGTCCCAAATTTTTAAAAAAAAAAAAGCTGCATGAAAGGAAGCCACAGAGAGAGGATGGGATACTTTTATCTTAAATTTCTCATTTTATGAATCAATCTCCCCTAAGTCCTCAAACAAAGCCCAGAGAACAATGACTCTTTTAGATGTAAACATACTGAAGAAACATGAGGTAAGGCATCACTTCATCTCCTGCTTTATAGATACATTTACATGCATACACACAGACATATACGCACACACACATACATATATATATATATACACACACATACATATATCTGTGTATATGGATATAAGTGTATACATATATATGTATACACACACACACACACACACACACACATACACACATACACACATATCAGAATGTAGGAAAGTTACTACAAAGTAAGTCAGCCTAGAAGGAGGAAATAAACACAGAACTCAGCATCAGATTCTATTCTTTAGGAATGGACAAACATGTCAAGACATCACTTAAATTCACATTAGTCGTGGTAACTGAGAATTCCTCTGATCTTTTGCCTGTTTTGTTTTTTCCTCTTTTTCACATTTAGGAAGGGAATGATGTTAATCTTATGGATGATATGGTATCTGAATTATCCTGTTGTAAGATTAGTCACTGCTGTAAGTAAATGGAGACACTAAGTAAGTAAATTCATTTGGCACCTGTCATCACCAGCATCCTTCTCAACGGCAACAGAAGAGACACTTCCAGGTGTTCTTACCCATGGTAGAAAAAGAATCAGGAACCTTTCATCTTCAAGTTTTAATGTTTCAAATGCACACAGGAATAACCACCATTTCAACTAAATCTTCCCCTAGTTTGCTTCATTGTTCTATGCCCAATGCTATTCTGCAGTGAATACTGATAGCCTGATACTGCTGTCCAACCAATGAAACCTTTATAGAAAGTTCATCGAAGTTTGTCAACTTAGAGAATTATCTTTTATCCTTTAGGGAATTGAGAAAACACCTTTACTGGAGACTTGGCTCCTCAGTGCATCTAACTTTGCTGAGTTTAGAAGCAAACCCCCAATTAGCACCAGACTGCTCTAGTGCCAGGTGTTGGCAGAATAGGAAGCGGGAGAACTTATGCTTCACAGTATTTTTCCTGACCTCCTTCCTCCAGAAGTTTTATTTTCTGAGGCCAAAAGAGGGAAAAGTTAATCAGGTGACAGAGGTGTTGCTGCAAATGTACTGTCTTCAAAACATCTACCTCCTAGCACCTACCAGCTCCTCCCAGCCCTGGGAATTTGATGACTGGACCACATTTCTCTCAGAATGAGCTCACCTAGTTTAATGCTTAGAACAGCTGGTGGTGCAGTAGATAGAGCACTGGCCCTGAAGTCAAGAGGAGCTGAGTTCAAATCCAGTCTCAGACACTTGACACTTACTAGCTGTGTGTCCCTGGGCAAGTCACTTAACCCCATTGCCTGGCCTCAGAAAAAAAAATCCACCAGAATCACTGTCAATGTCACTATTAGTGATCTTGGGACCCCAATCACCATTTTGTTATTAGTGGAAACTTACTCAATTAAATGTTTAACCCCACTCTGTGCATGAAAAATAAATCTTAATTATTTCTTGAGGGATCCCAGAATATTATAATAAACTATAACCTTAGAAATTCTCAAGTTCACCCTCCTCACTTCATAGATGAATAAAATGAGGCTCACAGAATTTGAGTCTCTTAAGAAAAAAACAAACTTTTTTCAAATGTAGAAAAATACTTAGGAATGAACCAAAAGTCCAGATTGTCCTCCTCATCATCATCATCAACACTAACAACAACAAATTCTGTGGGTAATAGGGAGTTACTGGTATTTATTGAGTGAGGGAGGTAAGATGGTCATGCCTTTAGCTTTAGAAAAGCCATTTCTTTTGGAACACTTCACAAATCTGGGTGTCACACTTTATCAGGAGCCATGCTAATCATCTCTGTTTCATTCCAATATAGAGTGTTAGGGGAGGAGTAGTATTTCTGGTATGAAGGCGGCCAAATCCTTTTCAGCACTGCTCATCTACCTTTGGACCCCATTAGTAGGTGGGCTAAACTAGGTTGAGAGTGACCTTGAGGCCTCAAACCCCTTGGTTAATTAGTTATCATCAAAGGGGAGTCAGGTCTTACCAAGTCACAGCAAATATTTATTAAGTACTTACTATGTGTCAGGGTCTGAGATAAGGACTGAGGATGGAAACTTGAGCCAAAGGAAAGACAAAACTTACCTCAAGGAGTTTACATTATAATTGGAGAAGACAACATATAAAAGGGACATTGAATGTAGCAGGAGAAGAAAGTAGAAATATATCTTCCCATATATGTGCATGGTGGAAAAGTCTAGAGATATGAGAGCAGAGCAAAAAGAGAAATGAGGAAGTAACTCTTCCTGGCTTTCACATTCCTCATATGTGAGGTACTAGGAAAAACTCCCCAATAGGAAAGAGTGATGCTGCATGGGTGGAGGCATATTCCAAGGTAAGAAGACCATAAGGTAGGAGGGATCTTTCAAGTGAGAAGGTAGTTGAGGCATAACAGAGAGATCCAGGGAGTAAGGAGCAGTGCCAGAAGAAGGAGTGTCAAAAGGTAAAAGGAGTGATAAAAGAAAACATGTGAGTCAAGTTTTTTCATTGTTAAACAGGCATTCTAGAGATCACAGTGGAATAAGTGGGTAGATCTGTAATGAGTCATTTGGGGGCTTCTCTTGAAAGGGATGAGAATAAAGGGAGGCAGGCAGATGGAAAACAGTTTACATTTCTATTGTCAGGTGTTCAGAATGATGGAAATAGGGAGTGAGGGGGTGGAAATTAAGGAAGTGATCTAGGCTGAGTATCAGTGGTTAGGGAAGGGTTCTTTGAGGGAGGGAGGTAATTAGACATTTTAGGGCAATAGCTCAATGTGCAGCCTTATTGTGTTTAGGAATTTCAGGAGAAAGTCAGAAGTGATGGTAAAAGCATGCAAAAGTATGGCTTGGGGGAGTCTTGTTGGGAAGCAGAAGATGTCAGTTAATGATGGGTTAGGACAGGGGAGGAGGTAGCTAGGTGACTCAGTGGATGCACTGGGTCTGGAGTCAGGAAGACTGGAGTTCAAATCCGGCATGAGACACTTACTAACTGTATGATCCTGTGCAAGTGACTTAATCTCTGTTTACCTTACTTCACTGGAGAATGAAATGGCAAACTATTCTAGGATATTTGCCAAGAATATCCTCAAAAGTGGGGTCATGAAGCATCAGACATGACTGAATGTCTGAACAACAACAGAACAGGAGAAGAACTCAAGAGAGGAGAAGGAAAGAGACCAGAAGTGAATGGTCTAGTCTAGAGGTCACCAAACTGTGAGTCATGTTCCAGATCTAGGCTGCCATTTGCTTTGGGTAGTTATGGAGTGAAAAAAACAAAAACGAAAAACCAAATAATCACCACCCCCACCGGACCCTTGAGATCAGACTAGTTTGCCTTAGCTAAGCTTTTCCTTAAATGACAGACCCAGAATCCATCAGTGAATCTGGGGGGGAGGGGAGAGGTGCTGGGGGTGGGGGGATGGGCCAGGGGGAGGCATAACAAATCAACACTGAAGAAATCTGAAAACCTTATGCATTACACAACACCTGCAGATCTCCCTACTGCCTCCACAATGCAGGAGATGGGGGTGTCATCTCATTTACATTTTTGGGTCATACATGCATGGTCTTGATGATTTTGCTGCATTGTCTTTTGATTGTGTGTGTCTATGAATACCTGTGGTTGTGTTTTTGTTTTTTGTTTTTTTTTTTTTTGGTATCTTGCCTCTGCTTCATTCTGTATCAGTTCATAATTTTTTTTCTATACTTACCTGTGATTACTATAAACATCATTGTTTACAGCATGGTATAAGCCCATTGTATTTATTTACAAAGATTTATTTACTCATTTCCCAATTATTTTCAATTCTTGGTTAACACAAAAAGTTCTGGTATGAATATTTTAGTGCATATGGGCAGTTTTTTCTAATCAATGGATTCCTTGGGATATAAAACTAGGAATGAAATCTCTGGGGCAAAAGTAATGGATATTTTAGTAACTTTGCATAATTCTAAATTACTCTCCAAAATGGTTTTACCAATTTACAATTATACCAACAATACCTAACATCCCCCAACTCTACCAACATTTATTATTGCCGTTTTTGATCATCTTTACCAATTTTCAGATATGAGTTAATTCTTTTTCCTTTTATGATCAGTAGACTGGAGCATACTTTATTGTGGTTGTTATTTTATTTTTTAATTCTTTATTTATTCTCTAGGTTTGTCATAATATTTTTTTCTACCTATTATTGGGGAATGGTTATTACACACACACACACACACACACACACACACACATATACACATCTTGGATACCAAACTACCATCAGATTACTTGATAGAAAGCTTTTCCCCCCTTTTGATCACTTCTCTTCTTATTCTAGGTTCATTAATTTTGTCTATGAAGAAACATTTCTGTTTCATGTAATAAAAGTTATTTTATGTTTTAATTACCTGTATCCTTTGGTTAAAGATACATCTCTGTTTCTTTGCTAATTTTTTAATAGTAATGTCTTTAATATTATGCACATATATTTAGAACATCTCATTGAAAATGGTATACAGAGTTGGTCTAAGCTTAGTATCTGCCTGCATGGCTTCTACTTTCCCCAGTAGTTTTTTTTTTTGTTGTTGTTGTTGTTGTTGTTTTTATCAAATAGTGAGTGCTTTCCTAGCTAATTTAAATTTTCTACTTTCTGGGACTCTGGATTATCTAGTCTAATTGTTTCTGATTCCCTATGATCTAGTCTATTACATTGATCTTATATTTTTAAAAATCTAATATCAGATTGTTTTGGTAACTGCTGCTTTATAACATAGTTCCATGTCCAAAAATGCTATTTCCTTATCATCTTTACTCATTATTTCTTTAATATTTTAGATTTTTAATTTTTTTAATTTTCATTTTGTCATTGTTTTACCCTTGTTAATTGGTATTGCATTAAAAAGGTAAATTAACTTTGTTAACATTATCATTTTGTCATGACATAACCATGAACACTGAATATTCCTCTGTCTATATGATTTATTCTCTTTAGAACATTTTTCATTAAATCTATACAAATTCTTTGTGTGTGTGTGTATTTTAGTAAATGAATCTCCAGATATTTTAGGCATATTGTAGTTATTTAGAATGATGTTTTTCCTTTAATTATTTTTTTGGATATTGTTATTTTATGTAAGAATGTTGTTATTTATTATTACTATTTTTTTTGGTTAGGCAATGGGGATTGAGTGACTTGCCCAAGGTCACACAGCTATTAAGTGTCAAGTGTCTGAGGCCAAATTTGATCTCAGGTCCTCCTGACTCCAAGGCTGCAGTTCTATCCACTGTGTCACCTAGCTGCCCCTGCAGTTAATTTTTGAGAGTTTATTTTGTAGCCTTCAATTTGGCTGAAACTATTAGTTACTTTGATTATTATCTTTGATTCCTTTTACCTAGCTGGGACACCATGCATTGTATGCTAGATCTGGAGCAGTTGGGTGGTGCTATGGAGAGAGTACTATGCCTAGATTCAGGAAGATCTGAGTCCAAATCCAGCCTCAAAAATGTATTTGCAGTGTAATTCTGGGCAAGACACTTAATCTTTCTTAACCTGTGGATTTTTCATCTCTAAAACTGGATAATAATATCACCTATATCACTTACTTCTCAGAGGTTGGTGTGGAGATAAAATGAGATGATATTTTAAGGTCAATTTTCTCTATGCCTTTTTTTTATTTCTTCCTAGGAGGCATTGGGCTTTACCCCCCAAACATCATAATAAGTAGTTTCCTTCACCACTTTTTCATAGCAAAGCTCGTGGTACGCCCAGTGCCGAAATGTCCACTTCCGGGGGGGGGGTGAATTAAAGGGGACCACCTAAGAGGCAGTTGGGACATTAGGGGATCCAGTGGAAGAAAGAGAAGATTGGAGGAGGGAGGAGACCATGAGTTCTTGTGTGCAGAGCTCCAGCAGCCCAGCCCGCAGCTGCTACTCACCACTCTCACTGAGTTTTCTGCAAAGTTCCACCCATCAATTTTTTTTAAACATCCCAACACAAGTGACTTACTCCTGTGTCTTCTGCCTATGTACAGTCCTTCTAACTGACCTAATGATAATAAAGTTCTTAGGAGTTACATGTGTCATCATCCCATTTAAGTATACAATATCAACAGGCAACCCCAACTTCACAAAACTTACATGAAAAACTAGGTTTATTACAAGAGAAATGAACATGCATGTGGAACTCCCAACTTGTCAAAGAGTTCATAATCCAAACAGAAGCTTGCATATTTATGAAACTGAGACACAGAGAGGAAGAGAAACAGAAATTTCTACCTCAATGGGAGTATCAGGGGAGGAGAAATCATGAATAATTTAGATGGCAAAAGCAACATTCTTTTACCTTGGGAACTCTTAGACTATGAAGATATGATGGTCTATTCATCTATAGCCACACAAGCACTTTCCCAGTCTAGTGCAATGGACTGAAATCTGTCTTGACACACAAGGAGTCCAGCTTGGGGGGCAAACAAGGGTCTATACTTCTCTTGAGTCTTATATTTGAAAGACACATTTTCTAACCATCTCTGGTCTTTTTGTTCATGCTGCCAATTCTGCTTTTTAAGGTCTTTTCATTAGTCAAGTTTTGTACCTCTTTTACGATTTGTCCAATTCTATTTTTGACATATTCGGTACTTTTTTTTTCTGCATCTCTACCACATTGGTTCCCTGTAATCTCTTTCTGACTAGTTGGCTGTACCCCTAATCATCTCTGGCCTGAAAGTTCCCGAAACTTGCTGCTGCTGTCGCTGCCTCCAAGGTCCAGAGTCAATGTTTCTGCTACATCAACTCCAGACCGGCCCCTACCCCAGAGTCACTGAACTCTCCTTCTTACTTCCTAAGTTGTTCTGGGCTGAAAAAAAAAGGACCATAATCTGACATTTTGTTGACTTTGCCATTCCAGAATTTGAGTTGATTTGTTACTTTAAAATTGCTTCAAGGGGAATGGTGGGAGATCTTTGCTATAGTGCTTCCTCTACTCTGTCATCTTGGCTCTGCCTTGTTTATGAATATTTTCATAACTGTACATTATTCCAAAATAGTTATATTAATTCATAGTTTTACCCACAATATCTCAGTGTACCAATCATCTCAAAACCCCATCTACATTGATTATTGCAATTTGTGAGCATATTTGTCAATTTGTAGGGCATGAGGTAACACAACAGAGTTGTTTTTTTTATATTTTTTCTTCTTGTTAGTGGACACATTCTTCTGGTGGTTAATACTTTGGAATTCTTTTAAAAACTTCATATGTATTAAGCACATTTATTGGAGAATGGCAATTACTCAATTGCTCATATATATATGTTTATATATATATAAATGTTTATATATATATTATATATAAATATATATATAATGTTTATATATCTTGGATGCCCAACTCTTATTGAGATATTTGATAGATTATTTTCCCATTCAACCACTTCCTTTCTTATTCTAAGTGCATTAATTTCGTCTGTGCAGAAGCTTTTCAATTTCATGTCATTAAATTTGCATGTTTCGTATTTTGTAATTGCCTCTATGCCTTGTTTAGTTAAAAATACATCTGTTACCCATAGTTTTGTGAGGTACATGAACTTTTGTCTTTTGCATTTTTTTTTGGTAGCACGATCTTTGATCTTAAGACCTGGTATCCATTTAGAATATATTGTGGAATGTGATCTATGGTGTTGGACTAAGCTCAATTTTTGAAAGACTTTTTTCCAGTTTCTCTAGATGTCTAAATTAGGAAGTTCTTTCCTAGCTTTTTTTTTCTTTCTTTAGTACTGAGTTATTGATTTCTATTATTTCTAATTCTCTATTGTCTATTCCTGTTAAGTTTTTTTTCAGTCATGTAATATCATTTTGATAACTGATGCTTTATAATGTAGTTTGAGGTCTAGAAGTGTTATTTCCCCTTCATTCTTAACCTTTTCCTTAGTTCCCTTAATATTCTAGATCACTCATTATTCCAAACTAATTTTGTTATTTTATCAAATTCTACAAAATATCTCCTTGGTAATTAAATTGATATAACATTAAAAATATAATTCACTTTGGTAGTATTGTCATATATATTTTATTGGCATGGCCCAGCCATGAACACTAAATATTCCTCCAACTATTTAAGCTTTTTTTTTTTTGAGGAACACTTTGTAATTGAATCTATATTGTGTGTGTGTGTGTGTGTGTATGTGTGTGTGTGCACGTATGCACATGATTCAGTAAAATGATCTCTAAATGCTTTATGTATCCTGTAGTTTTGTGGAATAGGTTTTCCTTGTCTATCACTGCTTCATGGATTTTGTTATTGTCATGGAGAAATGCAGTTAATTTTTGAAGATCTATTTTGTAGCCCGAAATTTTGCTGAAGCAACTGTTTCAAATAGTATCTTTCCTGACTCTCTAATATTTTTGAAGTATATCATCATATCATCAGCACATAAGGCCAGTCTTATATCTTATTTACCTATCTTTATACTTTTAATTGCATTCTCCCATGTTATTACTGATCCTAGTATTTCCAGAAAAAAATAGTAAATGTAATAGTCAATGTCCTTGCTTTACTCTACTATTTACTGCAAAAATTCTAATGTATCCTTATTACATATGATATTTGCTTTTGGTTTTAAATTGATGAATTTATGCTATATACATATATATGTGTGTTTATTTGCTCTATGCTTATATTCTATATGGATTTTAACATAAATTAATATGCCCTTTTCCAAATATGAATATGTGGTTTGGGATATTTTGGTTTTTAATATTATTAATTATATTTATCATTTTCCTAACATTGAACCATCCTCTAATCTCTGCTATAAATCCACACTTGGTAAATGATTTCTTGGATAAATTCCCATTATCTGACATAACTTTTTTTTTAGAAATTCAGTATATTTAGTAATGCTTAAAATGTAAAAGGTGATGAATTGATATCCATTGATGATATTCACCTAGAATTGTTTTCTTCCATTTTTATTCTTCCCTAGTTAAGATATTGGGACTATATTTATTTGATGAAGTAATTTTGGAAGGACATTTTCTCTGGTGCTATATGTGTGTTTATATATTTATGTAACACAGGTAGATAATGTAGATATGCTATAATACAGTGATTAGTATATACACAATAAATATTATTGCATGTATAGCTAGCATATATGTATATTTTTTGTTTAACTTACTATATGCCGGTGTGAAATTTATCATGACTTCCTTTTTACATGTCCATGAGTCATATATTTTATAAGATATTTAAGTTTGTTTATTTTCTTCTAGCAATTATCATTAAGCCTGCTGGTCTAATCTTGGATCACTTTTTTCTTTCTATTTGAAAATGGGGCTACTTTTACTCATTGCCTGTCCAAGAACATTTTTGCTATTTATCAGGAATCATCAAAGGTCCCTGGCAGCAACTAAACCATCACATATTTAAGTCCTTCTAGTGTTTTAGATTTACGAAGCTTGAGACATGAACATATTAAGGCAGTTAAGTACCATCTAATCTGATAAATTACTTTAGAATTAATTTTCCAATTAAGCTTTGTTTGGTGGTTAAATAACGAAGGGAAGAAATGATTGGTTGTTGAAATGATGAAGGCTAATGAGGTTGCAGATAAATGGTGGAAGCCTTCTTCATATATGTCTCACATTTCCCTTTTTGAGACTCATAGGGACAAAGTTTTAATTTGTTATTTTCTGCTTGTTCTTCTTTATATAAACATTTTTGTCAAGAATGGATTTGTAGATTCAATTCTCAACTTCTTGGAAGCTACTAGCAGACAACCTGTTCATACTTCCTTTTATTAGAATTGATCTACTCCCATACCTTCCATCTATTCATTCTATCTCAATACTCCTCACTGACTTTATGATTTAAATAGTCTTACTTCCAGAATTTTATGCCTAACACATTCTGCTTTTCTATTTTCCTAACATGAACAGTGGACATAGACAAGGACTTAGGATAGGAGTCTTTCTCTTCTATCATCTTGCAAGGAAATACTTCCGTATTGTCCAATTGACCTTTAAAGATTGAAAAGAGTCATGCACCAGGACTGTGAAGTGTTAGATTCTAGACTGAGTTCACTTCTAATGTGGCCATTTGACCTTTACAAGTTATGTCAATGTTCTGGACCTCAGTTTCCTCTTCTTTAAAATCCATTTGTCTTGGCTATCACAAAATCAAAGAACATCAGAATCAGAAGCAACCTCAGAGTCAATCTACTCTCTCATATTGGTGGAGGTATCCCTCAATTCCCAGCCTGCCCATTCCACTTGGAATAACTCTGTTACAAAGTGTTTCCTTATATCAAATACCATTTGTTTTTCTGTTAGTTTTTGGAAATTCAATTCTTGCCTTAGAAGATATTGATTATCAGTATCCACTCTGACATTCTATGTTTTGTCTTAGAAATTTCCTTTCCGGTTCTGACATTGTTTATTTTGTGTTCTTAGTTTTTTTTTTTTTTTTTAATAGCTCAAACTTCTGTGTTATATGTTCTAAGATGCCTTACAGCTATAAGATCTTTTCATGAATAATTCTATGTCAGGTGGTTAATTAATCTCACTTATTAATATGTTTTATATGGAACATTATCTTTTGGATTATTGGGCAAAATACTCTCTTATTCCTTTTCCTATAGGAAAAGAAATATCACTTATTTCAAACTATTTTTCAACAGAAATGATTTTTCTATTCCAAAACCTCCTCATAGCATTCTTCACTTCTGTGTTTCTAAAAGTATAGATCAGAGGGTTTAATGTAGGAGTTATTATAGTATAAAATATTGCCACAGTTTTGTCCAAAGAAAAAGTAGAAGGAGGCCGTACATATATAAATATACATGGAACAAAAAACAGGACAACTACTGTTATGTGAGAGCCACAAGTAGAGAGGGCTTTGTGTCGTGCCCCTGCACTGTATGCCCTCAGAGAATGCAGGATGACTCCATAAGAGACAAGCAAAATAAAAAAATTGATAATACACATCAACCCACTGTTGGCCACAACCATAAGACCAAGGGCATGAGTGTCAGTACAGGCCAGTTTCAGCAAAGGATACAAGTCACAGAAAAAGTGATCTATCACATTGGGGCCACAGAAGGGTAATGGGATAATGAAGACCATTTGGATAGTGGAATGAAGAAAACCTCCTACCCAGGCCACCCCCAGCAGGAGCAAACACAGGCGGCGACTCATGGTGGTAACATAGTGCAAAGGCTTGCAGATGGCTACGTAGCGGTCATAAGCCATGGCTGAGAGGGTGATCACCTCAACACCTGCCAGGAAATGCTCTGCAAAAAGCTGTGTCATACAGTTTCTGAATGAGATAATTTGCCTCTCATAGAGGGAATCCACTATAACTTTTGGAGCAATGGCAGAGGAGAAGCAGGCATCCAGGAAAGAAAGAAAGGCTAGGAAGAAGTACATGGGTGAGCCCAGAAGAGAGGGACTACAAAGGATGGTCATAACAATAAATAGATTCACCCCCAGAGCTGTGAGGTAGAAAAACAGAAATATTACAAATATTATTTTCTGAATATCTGGATTCTGTGAAAGTCCCAAGAGGATAAACTCAGTCACTTCGCTTTGATTGTCCATAATTAGGGGGCTTGAGTGTCTGGGTGATCACAGAGTACCTGGAGAGAGAGAGAAAGAGAGAGAGAGAGAGAGAGAGAGAGAGAATAAATTTGTTTTTAATTTTTAGACCTACCTGGTATTTGAAATATGCATCTTCAAAAGACATTCAAAAACATCTTCTGTAACATTTCTGGCAAACACATCTATGCTATCATTCACTTAAAGAGTGGTATAATAAAACAAAATATATGCCTATGTGACTTTTCTCTGTTATATCCATATTTTATGCAAATATATAATGATATAATCTCATGGATATTAGGTAGAATATTAAGGAAGAGGTAGGTGAAAGGAGGAGTGACACTCGAGGCTTAATTAAACACAGATGTAATGGGTGTACATGTATGCAGAGTTTGAGAAGCAAATATAAATTGGAAGTTTTTATACTTTCAGTTTCCAAGAAGGTGATTTAGAGCTTGGAACATTGCTGTGGAGGGTAGGTATATGGAACCTAAAAAGATCTGAGCAGCCTGACAGCTACCTGACAATGCTGTCCAGTCAGCTAACAGAGGTTGGGGAACATTAAAATAAGGGAAGAAAGGGTGAGAAAGGAAAGTGGGAAGGGGTCTGAGCACACACAAAAAAATGCCTATTTCAATATTTGGTCAAAGTCTTGCCCTACTACTCTGTTCTCATCTTCCACAGGAACAACCATACAATGATGCAACTCTGACCCACTACTAGTATGTTACATGAAATTTTTTACTGTAAAACATCCTTGCGTGTTTCATCCTCAGTGTGAGTAATACAGAGTTAGTTTAAGGTGAAGAGATCCAGAATCCATGGGAAGTACGATTGGCGGTTGTGTTGTGAGAAGAAATAGTTGTAGGAGAAAGAAAGCTGTCGCTGTATTGTTGTCATCTCCAAAGCAGAAATGTTAATTTTGCCATCTGCTCTGATTTCTCTGAGAAGCTAATGAACTCAGTTCCCTATCAGTTACTGGACAGATTATATCAAAGGATCCCATTAGTTGTTATGTGCCTTCTAAAAATAGTGCTTCTTACTCAACTTCTCCATGATGAGTCTCTTAAAGTACTTACTTCAAGAGTAGTAAGGCTTGCACTGATCTACCCAAATCTTTTGCCTAATCAAACTTTGAAGCACTATATAAATGCTAGCTATTATTATATAAATCTTCACCTGAATGTCACAAATAAGTCATGAATTAAATACTTTTGATCAGATTATTACATGTACAATGTATTTGGATTACAGAATTTTAAAAAAATTCTAGAGAGTTTAAGGAACATTTTATAATAGTAACTGTTCTTTTTCTGTTTTTTTTTCCTCTTCTGCAGAATTTTAGCATGTACCCATTTGGCAAAATACCAGTTGCTTCTCAGCTTTAGTATATTTTTATTTATGAAATGATAATAATAACTCTGGAGTCTAATGTAGTGATTTTTTATGAATCTCCAATTTGATAACTTGTAATGTTTTACAAACTTTGTTACATGTAAGTCTCTTATCATAATAAACATAAACATAATGTTGTTTTTTCACATAACATTTAGAGATTTATATGTCATTTGTTCATCATAACAATGAGTAATAAGGTAGTATATGTATTATTACATTATTTACTTAATGAAACCGAATAAAAAAAAAGTTTAACTGACCTGCCTATCAACATAGAGCTTTTAAGTGTCAAAGGAGACATAAGACATTTCAACCCAGGTCTCTGTTGATACCAAGATCATCTCTCCATTTCACCTTTTACTCTTTCCTAGTTTTGTTGTTTGTTTTGTTTTGTTTTTCCATTCAAAACTAAGTCTGTGTGTATGCCCAGGTAAAATTAGGCAGACTTTTAAAAAAATGAGAAAATAATGACCTGACCCAGAAAGGGACCCTAAAATTAATAAGTGTTCCTGGGAAAGTCCAGAATTGAGTTTCTTCATAATTCTAATGCCTGACTCATTTAAATAATCCATAGAATCAGGAGGGTCCACAATACTCACAGCTCTCATTTAATACATGAAAAGGGCTCATGCAGATAAAGTAAGTTTCATGATTTCTCAAAAGTCTTTAATTTTAAAATGAAGATTAGCACCCAGGGCTTCTGAGTTTTTGTTTTTGTTTTGTTTTGTTTTGTTTTTAAAAGCAGCAAATTATTTTAACTATCTTGCAAATTCCTATAATGAGGGGCCTTCCCTATCCACCTATCTTCCCTGACACTCCTATCATTTTCTTAATCCAGAAATATAAAATTTATAAGTTTCATCAGGAAATCTTTAAACCAGATCATTTCCCAAGCAAATACAGTATTCTCATAAACTTTTAAATTTTTTTTTGGTTAGGAAATCAGGGTTAAGTGACTTCTCCAGGGTCACACTACTAGCAAGTATCATGTATCTGAGGGTAGATTTTGAACTCAGGTCCTCCTGACTCGTATTCTCATAGTCTTAAAAAGAACCCTAATCAATATTGATATGCTTCAAAAGCTTAATTGCTACATGGCTCCTCAGTCTTTGCCTTCACCATCGGCACGTGAGCATTCTCTGTTTCTTTCTCTGTCTCTGATATTTTTTCTGTTTCTCTGTCTTTACCTTTGTGTTTTTAACTCTCTATTCCATCATTTTCTCTCCTTATTTTGATTCAGCGTTATCCACTTATATTATTGGTGACTTTTTCTTGCTTTCCTTGTATGGATAAAATAGTATCAGGAAACATGATGTTATGACTATTTGCTCACTTGAATTTCATAAAGCATGTCATAAAATAACTGACATTTATGTGATGCTTTGGGTTTGAAAAAATAAAATCATACATTATCTAATTTAAGAATCACAATAAGCCCGTGAGGGAAGTACTATGAACATTATTTTAGTGATTTGTCTATAGACACACAGCAAAAGGAGAAGCAAGACCTTCTGACTCAAATTCCAATGTGTTATATTCTCTCTATGCACAGTCAGCAAATTGCCAAGCAATAGTCTATTTGCCATTGTAATCACTTTCACAAGTGATGGGATAATATAATTGCATGTCTAAAAGATTAAAGTAAAAAAAAATGCTGTGTTGAATTCCAACATGCCATTAAATCAATCACCTCAGAACCTCTGCATTCCATCCCCAAACCATTCTTGGAACATGAATAACAAGCATTTGTCATAGTCTAGGCTCCAAGGGGAATCAAATTTCAATACTTACTTTAAGAATCTGTGACTTGATTGAAACATGCACTCATTTCACTCACTAGTCAGATTGCAAACCTTTTAAGAAAGTCTGTGAGTTGTTGCTCCCAAAAATAAAATAAACCTGGTGGTCAGCCTTCTGAACGTGAACCTTTCTTAGCTCGGTACTTTGGCAATTGATGCATCGACAATTTGTGGGCCAGTACACTAACACTTTTGATCTTGGTAAGACTTGATAAAGCTTGTACACTGCTAAGAGAAACCCTGAGGTTACCTCAAGGCAGTTAAAATATGAGCTCAAAATCCTATGTAATTGAAAAATAATAGAAGTTCCAACCCTTTTATCAGAGGACATTGGTTATTCCCTGTTTTCTGTTTGCATGTAACTTGATAAGTGAACTACAAGAGAAATGTGTTCAGCTCTCAAGGGTGAGGGATGCCTTTACATCTCAATTATACCCTGGGAGATATATTTATAAATCTCATTCCTTATAGGTTATGATGACAAATATTTGCTGGGATCAACTATGAAAGGCCAGTTTTGTAGCTAAGCAGAGTTTGTGGGTCTTTTTTTTTCCATTCCAATATTTGTAACAGAGAGAAAAGTGATATCCCTGGCCATTTTGAGTGTGAAATGTCCCTCTCTCCTCTAGCGAGGCCTCTCTATGGTCTCTTGGGGGAAACAATCAGGTTTCCTTTTTTAGTATTTGGACTGGATTCCCTTGGAGCTTGTGTGCCTATCACTTCTCAAGATCCCCTAGGATTTTGCAGGGGAAATAACCTCCTACCAAGATGATTTGTCAAGAAACTTCACTTAAATTTAAAGCAGTTTTTGAGAATGTTTTACATCCCTTTAGAATTAATCTTTTAAAAATGATTTCAATTGGATCAAAACCTTTAAACTGCTTTTCTTTATCTTTGTATATAAGAATAAATTATAATGTACATAAACCCTGAGGTGAGATGGTGACCTCCTTTCAGGACTTCCCTTTTCCTATTTAGATTTCTTCCTTCTAGATCACAGAATCCTGATAGATTTACAGCATATGTGTGTGTGTGTGTGTGTGTGTGTGTGTATACATATATATATATACACACATGTGTGTATATGAAATTTAAACTCTCAACTCCCAATCTTGAAATTCCATCATTCTGAAATTAAAAAAAAAAATTCTATTTTTGTGTATATTTTTTCACAAATGAAATATATTTGTATGTAAAATTGCTAATAAAACTGCAATATATATGTACATGCATATATGTTTACATGCACATATATACACACACATCTATATTATATACATGCATGTACATATGTGTATATGTGTGTGTATTCCCCCAGGATTCCAGAACTAGAAATGGAAGGAACGTGACCTAATCCAGACTTCTAACTTTAATGGTGAGGAAATTGTGTCACAGGGAAATTACGTGATTTGTCTAATATCACAAAAAGAGTAAACAGTGGAGGCAGGATTCAAAAAATAGGTTTTTTGACACTGGAACCTGCATTCTTTCCCCCTTTCTATTCAGCCATTGTTATCCTAGAGCATTAAGAATGTAGACTCTAGGAAAACCTGGGCTCCTCCCTCAAAGCCCTCTCATAAGGGGGCCATTAGACCTCCCTGTCAAAAATTAAGAGGCTTATTCTGTCCTTATTTTCATTTCTTAGGACTTCATTCCCACTTAGATTTTGTCTACCCATTCATTGTTATGTAATAGATTAAGAAAGATGATTAATTAAATTTGCCATAGATTTATTAAACACCTATTACACACAAGATACTATGCTAGTCACTGGAGATAGTAAGTTAAAAAAAAAATCCATGT